ACGTATCAACGATTGGTAAACATGAGGCTGTGCAGACCTGGAGCTTGGCCACGGCTGCGAATGCTTGGTGAATCCCTGCGTCCTGCAGAAGCAGGGCTTGGAAAGGGGGCTGCTGCTGGGCTGGCTGGCGGGTTGGACCAGCAGCAACCAGAGAAAGGAAGTCGTGGATTGAGCAGGAACCCCGAATGAAGGCGCTGCCGGAGGGGAGAGGCAGAAGGACTGAAGGGGGAGGGTGGGGGAGGTGGGTCTGAGGGCAGAGGAGCGGCTTGAGCCCTTGGGTCTTTGCAGTTTGGTTGGTGAAGGAGACCAGGAGATGCTCTGGGGTGGCCCTCAGAGGAGATGCAGGAGTTTGACCCAAGCACCAGACCGCTAGGGAAGGTGCTCCCACCCGTGCCGCTTCGAAGCTTTCAAGAGCCAGCTTTCTGTCGGTTGTGGTTACGGAGGAGAGCGTGGAGCCAGCCAGCTCTTTGCCGTGCTGGTGGGCTGGGTTTCCCAGGATGCTTCCCGCAGCCCTCGGGCATGCGTGCGGACGGCGATTGGACGGCTCGGCTCCACTTCCATCACCACCCCCAGATAATTTTGGTGCAAACCCTCTTGCTTTCCGTGGTGTGTGCTTGCCAGCGTGTGTGCCCGAGCTGGGGGAGCAGCGGGGTGGGCAGCGCGCGGGGGCACTGCTCACAGCCGGCTTCTGGACGGATTGCTGCGGGCAGCAATGGATGCCGTCTCTCCGCTTCCCTTTCAGAGTTCTCACCCACGCAAGCCAGTGAAGGACCGACAAGCAGGACCCTCACAGCCTCGGTACAGGATGGGGAAAGTAAGCTGCTCACCCGCTGCCCCTCCGTGAAGCACCCTGACTCTCCGGCTCCAAGGGCCAGAGCCTTGGGGACCCTGTCGTTGTGCCAGCCATGGCCGAACCCTATCCCAGAGGTTCACCAAGGCTCCCATCAGCCGGGCTGCCCTAAAGCATTGCCCCTTCCCCGCGGTTTCTCGCCCGGTTTCTTTGCCGTCATGGGCACTGCCGGATCCAGGCTCGGTGGCATCGCTGTGCCGTGGCGTGTGTGGTGACCTCCTGGGGAAAGCAATGTCCTTCTCACCGCGTGCTGCCACCCTCCAGGTGACGGCAGCATCCGTCTGGTGAGCGGGACCGACACCTGCCGAGGCCGGGTGGAGATCTTCTACCGCGGGAACTGGGGCACCGTCTGTGACGACGACTGGGGCCTGAGCGACGCCAGCGTGGTGTGCAAGCAGGTGGGCTGCGGCCAAGCCCTGGATTACAAGAGCAACGCCTATTTTGGCTACGGCACGGGGCGCATCCTCCTGGACAACGTCAACTGCGACGGCAGCGAGCCTTTCCTCTCCGCCTGCTACAGCCTTGGCTGGGGCATCCATAACTGCGGCCACCATGAGGATGCTGGGGTCATCTGCACAGGTACCGGGGCAGAGAATCACCTTCGGGGCTGTCTGCCGCGGGGGGCAAAAATCCAGGGGCATCCTGGTCCCCAAGGAGAAATGGCCTCAGAGAGATGCTGACATGCCCAAGGTCAGGCAGGGACCTGGGCTCTGCGCTGCTGGGGCATCCTTTCTCCTTATCTGCCATCATCCT